ATCAGCAACATTTTACTAGTTAGCCACTTTTTGATATCTTTCACAGAAAATGAGATATATAGGCTCAAAGTGGACGATCTGGGTGTCGTTCTATTAGAGGTTTTACGGTATTTTAACGAATTCAAACAAAACATTCTCAATTTATTTCTCAAATAAACAAGAGATTTTCCGTTTTTCAGAGTGGTTCTATCGTTATGACGCTGTGTGCAGATAGAGTTTTGGTTACTGTACTACTAAAACACATGACTGGCACTTGATTCTGAGGAGGGTGTTGAATCTAATGGCATTAGCCGTTTTTCAACCGCGCTCCGCTAAGAAAAAGGCTTGCAGTTCATTTTGGGAGCTGGGGAGACCGTGCAGTTCGGAATTGTTCTGTGGGAGAGCGTGCACTGTATATTAATTGTATTGGTGTTAAATTCCAAAGCGACTATCTATTGTTTGCAGATGACTTGAAAATTTATGATGGGTTTATTGATGCAGATTTAGTTGAATTGGAACATTGGTGTTCAAAAATGAAAATGAAAGCGGCTCCTAAAAAGTGCGATGCAATGCAACAAGAAAATATGCCAACTCTAATGATATGAATCCCAAATTAAGATGAAATTCATTTGATGTATAAAAATTGAGTGGCACGGCAACTATTGTTCCGACAAATCAATTACAGAGCGAATGATCGAAATAGGTCTGAGAAAACATAAAAATGTATATCAGAAACAAAATTATTTATATCAGAAAATTTATATCAGGTAAGAGTATATCAGAATCTTCATAAAGAAACAGAATGAAGAGTTTTCAAATCATTTGAATAACGTTTGACCATGTGAGTTTTTGTACAAAAAACTGTGAAGTGTTCGAAGATGAATTTTCAGATTACAGAAGAACCGTAAATGTGACTTTATAAATATTAGATCCTCTGTATAACAATTTATTACTGATTTAAAAACAAATATGAATAACTTGAAAATGTACAACACATAACTTCAATTAACTTCTGAAACCCTATGGGATTTTAATACTGTATACCGCAATCCGTTAATATCCAGCACATCATCGAATTGAAAGCTAATTGGAAGTTTTGTACGAGTTTCCACTCTTCTGCCACGTGGCAAATGACTCCATCTATTGGCAAATTTTGCATATCCCATTCGTGTGTCCGATGTTCACAGAGAATATATGATTCTGTGAAGAAACATGCCCATGCGTTAATTGAGAAAACGAATGAGGAGATGAGTAATAGACAGCAGAGTGGCCAGAATTTCTGAAATTTTGGAGCAAAACTATATACGTAATATAGGATACACGGCCTTCCAAAAGACCTAGTCAGAAATCACATCAAAGACAACTTGTAGGGTAGACAAAATTTCATAATTTCAAAGAGGACTCATAGTTGTACGTTTGATACTCAACCAACGAACAGAAAAAAAAATGAACCTTCAAATCAAGTTTGCTGAGACATGATTTCTGACCAGTAGTTTTGAACGGAATTGAAAGTACAAGTGTTTTTTAAAAAATACCGTAAACACTCAAATAGAACGCCACCCGAATCGTTGAATTTAAGCTCATGTATCTCATTTTCTGTGAAAAGGATAAATCTAGCGGCCCATGCGCAGTTATGTAAGAATGACACAACTTTTGTGTTTTTTTTTCAGAAATAGTGGATCAAGTCAATTCGAAAAGTAATAACTTTGTTCAAAACGAAGGTACAATTTTAAGCTAACATGTATCTTGTAGAAAAGATTACAGGCTACAAAAAACTCAAAAACATTTCTATTCTATCTCTACAAAGAAGTTTACTAGGATGGGAAATGTCTGAACGGTTCGATTGTGAGAAATCAAAAAATGTCGATTTTCGAAAAAACACCTTCGGGAGACAGTGTCTATTCAATTCCTTTCATGTCATAATGCACAACTATTGTCTCAAATATTTAGCTCACCGTTCATTTAAGAAAGATTTTTGAAAAAAAAGTTTTAACTCAATTCTATGTACAACAAGGAATTGATCGAATCGTTATATAAAAGGCAACACTGTCGAAAAAACTTCACATGCTAAATTTTCATTTACTGTTTTGTTTTTGCAAATAAACCCGATTCTATTTCTAAAAATGCGAAACTCGCCGTTAGAAAGAATGAGGCAATTGAGACGGATAAATGAAACATACCAATCAAGACGACATGTGTCTTGATTCCAGAAAACGGTTGATTTTTAGGAGGAAGTATCAAATAAAGGTGTAACCAAACATCGCAAATCAAAAAATAGGATGCGAGGAAAAAACAAAGAGCCAGAAAGTAAATTAAACCGGAAGTCTGAAGTTATAATTTATAATTAGGTGTTAGTTATGTAATGTAATGTGAATGAGCTACTTACCGGTACATTGATTCTGAATCCTATTCCAATTATACTTCCAAGCAATGTCCAAACCTACCCCAGCGGAGTCTTGAATGGACCAAACTTTCCCAAATTTTCACAGATGATCCCAAATAGCAGCGAGATGATGTCCGAACTTTTCTCTTATCAAAATTTCGTTTCTGACGCTTTCTGGAGACGTTGATGCAAATAATCAGAAAAATATTGAAGCAATATTTACGTCGTCTAACCGACCATTTTTCTTATCCACGCTATTTGTGATAGGGAGAGAAAGTTGATTTTGTGGTAACGTTATTTTAGTCTGG